ATGTTTGTTGTGAATCCAATTTGATTTGGTAATTTCTGATAGTTAATAGAAGAGAAAGGGAGAGAGAGAGGGAGAGAGAGAAGAAAAAGGAGAAGGAAAGATGAATGGAAAAACGATATAATTGTAATTATAATGTGGCTTCTTTCTCTTTACAACAACAACAACAACAACAACAACAACAACAACAGATAGCAACAATAACAACAACAACAACAGCAACAACAATAACAACAATAACAACAACAACAACAGTAACAACAACTGTTTATAAGCATCAACAACAACTATGAATAAAAAATAACAACAATAACAACAGTTGTTTATAAACAACAACAACTGTTTATAAACAATAACAACAACGATTGTTTATAAACAATAACAACAACTGTTTATGAACAATACCAAGTGTTTACTTATACATCCAATATTTTTGCTAAAACGTATTTAGTAATGATTTTACAATTTTTTTTTATTTTTTTATTTAATTTCATTTTTCCGATTCAATAATTTTAATGATAAGACAAAAATAGGAAGGAAATTGAAAAAGTTAAGTTTTTTTCTTTTTTTTTTTTAATGGTAGTCAATAATCATATTAATGCCAGACTTTTTGTTTTATTCTTTGTGCTCATTTAGTCTTTGTATTTTTGCTCATAGACTAATCAGATATGAATAATTTTTTAAGTCATTAATTAAAAAAAAAAAGGGCCAGCATTTAGTTAATTCAATTATTTATCTTTTTGCTATTTTTGTTTTTTAATATCTCTTAATTTGACAGCACTTTTGTTTTTTTTTTTTTTTTTGTTTCAACCATATAGCCAATGTTTTCCTATCATTTTTTGATTTCCTGTATGAAGCATTCATTTTCTTATCATTTTATTTAAATAATTAATGAGAACTGAAATGTGCTTCAATTTTAATTATCAATAAATAAGAAATTAATTAATAATACTATTCAATTGTTAATTGATAAGGAATGATAAGTTCGTTAAATCATATTTGAATATACATTTTATTATATCTGAAATTTTATCTTTTCATTGCATAGTTGTAATAATTAGTGATGAAATTAATTCAGTACAAATAGGTAAGCGCAAACAGATAAGCTAAATAGGTAGGCTAAATAGGTATAAGCGCAAACAGGTAAGCCAAATAGGTAGGCTAAATAGGTATAAGCGCAAATAGGTAAGCCAATAAGTTCACATAAAAGATCAATAAGAAAAAAAAATTGAAGAATCAAAAAAAGAAGAAACTAATGAAATGGCAAACAAAATTTCTTTTTTCTTTTTGTAAATAAAAATTTTTGCTTTATTTATTTAAAAATGCAATCACTTCCATGAATGGATTCATTATTGTTATTAATTTTCATCGTTAATACTTAATTAACAAATAATTTTTTTTTTTTTTGTAATAAATTACTTTAAGCAAAAGTCATCCTCATCTATAGAAGAAATTATCATTAAAATTTGAACTTCATTTGCTGCCTGAAATATATTAACATAACAGAACATAAAAAAAATATCGAAATTTGAAATAGAAGAAATCATTTTTTATGAATAAATTCATTAAACATAATTTGGTTATTGAAGTCAAAGTTATGCAATTTAATTTAAGTTAAAAAACAAAATTATTTATGTTAAAAATTATTTTTTTATATTTGTCAATAGTTCTAATTGATGTGGTTTATTCGAATTATCAACAATTTTTGTATGAAAAATCAATTAAGTTAATCATTTCAAATTTTCTAACTTTAAAACAATCTTTTCGTATTAATCGACATAAATGATGATAAGGAAGAAAGTGGAAAAATAGGAAATTAAATTATAAATGAAAAGAAAATCAAATTAAATGTTAAAGGATATTTTTGGATGTATCCTATTATTTAAGCCAGCATAATTAGTGGTCATTAGACTAATTGTAAACAAATTTTTTAAGGATTGTAAGGAGAAAAATATGCAAATATATAATATTCGTACAATTATTATTGATAGAAATAACCTGAAGGAAGATGAACTAATAAGTGGACAATGAATAGATAAATGAAACAAGATGGTCATCATCTGATACGAGCATTGAGTAAATCATCCGGAAGTGAAAATGATATGATCAAATTCCACTTTGAAAATTTCCAGAGCGAAATCCTTGGAATTTCTTAATTCTACATTCATTTCATTTATTATTATTATTATTATTATTATTATTATTATTATTATTATTATTATTATTATTATTATTATTATTATTATTATTATTATTATTATTATTATTATTATTATTATTATTATTATTATTATTATTATTATTATTATTATTATTATTATTATTATTATTATTATTATTATTATTATTATTATTATTATTATTATTATTATTATTA